AAGAAAAAAAAAATGGAATTTGGTCCCTGGCCAGACACTCGCGAATTTCTTGGTAAGAGCGACATTGAGACAATCTTTGACTAAAACCAGATACTGTTGTGGGATAGCTGTTGATTCAGTCCCAATCCCTCCCTTCCACAAACATTTTTTCTTTTCTTCCCCATTTGCACATTGATTTATCGTCTATTTGTCTCTTTCAGGTGCACATTTCATTAAGCCAGTTGAACAATAAGCATCAAACGCTGCATTCCTATGACTACACCTCGCGTACTCCGAAATGTTGTAGAGAATCGAAATGAATGGCTTCTTTTATCATGACGCATTTCACTTTCTCAGATTACTTGAAATCGGAGTGCATTGTAGCTCAAACGGAAATAACTCGGAGAGCGCTCGATCAGTCACGTAATGATAGAAATAATGACCAACTGAGAATGCTGATCTTAGAGATTGTGAATTTGAGGGAATAATGTCCGTGTAGACGAATCACGTTTGCTTGACATCAATTTTGCTGCCCAAGGCCTACGTTTTTTAACCACACTTTTGGAAATCTCGACCGTCGTGGATAAGGTTTAAGGAACTTGAAAAAGCACTGAAGCGCTAAGGGTCACTGTCGTCGAAAAGCACTTCTTTTCAAATAGGAAGAATTCCAAAGTCCTTCGCAGAGATGCACCAACCATTTTCTAGTTATGGCATTTGAAAGAGATCTGCTGAATAGTTTCTGGATGGCGTCGACAGTTTCATGAAGATGACAGGTTAGAGAAATAACCCGTAAATTTAGTCACATTTTGAGGGTTACAACTATAGGAGCAAGTCTGTAATTCTAAGCCGCGTGGTATTCCAGACATCTTAAGCCTTGATGCCCCTATTCCTGTTGTTCTGTTCAGTTTACAATTTAAAATACATGTAAGCTATGTGTAACAAGTTAATCATAGATACGTTTTGCCGCCTATGGCAGAAGACGTGAAAATGAAGGCTTAGATAATCTATTGGAGGTCTAAAGAAGGAAACAACTTCGAAAACATATCCAAGATTTAGTGTGGAAAGCCTTTACTTTGATCAGAAAGACAAGAATCAAAATAAGACCATTGGTGTAATTTCCGTTCTAAAGAAAGGTGGAAGGGAAATCAGCTGAGTGATATCGAAGTACACATTGAGTAAAATTCCTTTATTCATGTGTAAGTTACTTTGACTTCACGCTTGTTACCGTCATTACTGAGCATACTCCACATTTCGTAAAGTTCTTGTTAAAAATTCTAGTTTAACAAAATTACTATCTCGATAAACAGCTGCACAGCACATTAACCATGAGTTAGTTAACTCCGGTGATTGGCACGAATTTTCAAGCAAAGAAACGTTTCACAAAATGCCATGATCTGGAAAGGTTTTGAACAATTCAGGTTAATTAATCCTTTAACTTCCCAGCTCTGATTGTTTATTCTCCTCTCTAGCTGCTGCACATTTCCTTGTAAATTAGTGACGAGAATTTGGCGTTAAATCATGATAACAACTTCTATCTGATAAGTTTGAGTATTCTTATTACCTGTTTGCTGAATAACGTATTAATATCTTAGGGAGAAGTTACATGTTCATCACTTTTGGGAGTTAAAGAGTCAATAATAGGAAAGGTTTTATTTGACTCAAGAGTCAAATGTAGCGAGCGAGCGAGCCGTAAAACTTCTCTTTCTTTTAAATCCCTTTTCAAAATGACTTTTGAATTTACATCACAGGAAGTAATGTAAATTTAAATGTCAAATGAAGTACACCCCACACTGTTTGACTATTGTTGTACTGATTGAGCAACGCCATCGGTTCTCACGTTTCTCTAGTTAACGTGTGTGAACCCGTTTCAGCGCGTTAAGAACTAGGGCACTAAACACGCGGAAACGTGTGCGACTTTCCCGATAGCTACGGGAAATTAGTCTCTAAATAACCAGTTATAACAAGACATACTTAATTAACTAATTACTGTGGAAATTTCCACAATCTTTGCTCTCACAAATAAAAACATTACATGCATGACCTCTTCTTCTGGAAAAATGTCAATTACGTGTAATGAAATTAATCCTTAACTTCTGTTTTCTTGCATGTTGGTTAGCACCAGAGTTTTAAGCTATTCTTGTTTCTGATTTATTCATCTCTTCTTCTTTACATGATTTTATTCGCTAGCTAATTAACAAATGATTGATGTGCATTATTCTCTTGCGCCTGGGCTTCTCGCCACGTATAGTGGAGCGATTTCCGAAAAATGTCTGTAGAGCTGAAACATCAACGTAAACTTTTCCGAGAATTGGAGCCAACTGTTGTTATAGCAGTCTCACATTTCACCAGTTAACTGCTTAGTCCTCGCTTCAGCAAATGCGACGAAAAATTGATCGATTTGTTCTGATTTATATGACAAAGAAAAATCTTTGACTTGCAGTTGCCTTCCTTGAAGCACGTATGCCCGCTTAAGATCTTTGACTTTTATCTCCATTTTTTCTCATGTCTACAGAGACTTTAAGACTTCTCTTGCCCATTAGCGTGGTAGCAGCGACTCTTTCAGTCTTCATAGCCGTCCTTGTCATCCGATGTTATTTAAGATGGAAGAGGCAACACAAGAAAGAGCAGATTTTTGCAGAAGGACCCGTACCTAAGCTGGTACTGTCTTCCCAGCCTGTGGATTTTCTAGTTCCGCTTTTGATTCAAGACAGATTGGAAGAGGAGGAAGAAGTAGATCAGTTTGATATTCACTATTCTGTTAGTGGAGCATCCAGCGAGGACATCGGTCACGAGCCCGAAAAGAGTCAAACTGGTGGTAAGGCATGATTAAGTTTATCACTTCCAAGATCGAAAAGGTCATTCTCCTCACATTTCCTTGTTAGCTAGAGCAGAGAATCTGGTATTTTATGGCAAGACTAAGGCCATAATTAGTAATCATCCTTATTCTCTTTACATGTCTGCTTCACAGTGTTTTTAAATCGCAAGGAGAATCCAAGAAGAGGTCACTCTTGGAGACAAATAGCGTAAGGACATGTAACAATGGTTTCTCCATCAAAGATCTACCATAACCAAATGGTTTTTAATTCAAGTTTAACGGCTTTCCTTTGTGATCCGTTTCAATTTCCTCTCGCGTCCTTCTCCACACACGTTGTGTTTTGGTTTATTCTAAACACTTTAATGCCTGCTCTATATATCCATTCTATTTATTCGATGTATTCACCGAAGCCGTTCCTTAAAGCATGGGTCATGCAAGTCAACTAGATGTCACGCATGTCTGTGTTGTGTGACAAAACATAGAATGCTGCCAAGGATACTAACATAGAGTTAACCAATGATTACGTTTTATGGTGTTCTATTTTTTCAACGAAAAGTTATATAATTTGGAAGTTAGAATATTGGCGGTGACCAAGATACTTCGCGAGTGGGTGAATGGATGTTCTTCCCTTTTTTCCATTACATCGTGATTTAATCTTTACAACCCACAACAGTCATCGCTGAGGTTGTCAGTGTAAGAAAAAGACATTTTGAAAAAGAAAACAGCACTGCAAAAACTGAGTTGCAATTCAGACCCGTGATTATAAAAGGGATTTTATTATGAGACCCTTCTGTTCAACACCATGTTCATAACATGTATTCTCAGCTTGAATATCTGGCATTTTCATTAATAAGCTCTGTTCTAGAGAAAACCATCTTAAGCCCTATTTCCTCCTTTAGAGCGCAATGTCCGTCCTCTGCTTGCGAGATTACACTCTGAGGCCAGTGTTTTGGACAGAAATGGTCAGCGGGTTAACTTGCGCTGTCATGCACCTCGCAGCACTAAGAGAGGAGAATCCCTTTTCTTCGACGATGGCGCCGAGAGTTTTCATTCAAGTGGTAAGAAACCCAAGGCTTTAATAGCAAACAAATATCTAGCTGTTTCAAAATACCCCACATTTCTGAGTTGCTTTTATTTTAATTTGCAACAAATGGATTATCTCCTCTATCAGTACCATCTAGATCTGAATCAATAATTATCTTTACTCTTGCATAATAAATTGATAATTTTCGTTGGGCCCTCAATAGAAGGGTAGCTCGAGGAATGCAGTGACATATTCTGATGTTTTCCTTCCACAGATGAATCATTGCTGCCGAGGTGTTCCTCCGCCGGCCCTCAACCCAGACCTCTTCGTAGAGGATCTCGCGCAGATAGCCTCAAAAGTTTATCTCGAGAATCACTTTCAGAGGAGTCATCGTTACCAGATCCCACTCCGCACATGCTCAAATCATTGGTGTCTTCTATAAATACTACTTTACCCAAGTCAAAGCTGACAAAGCAAAGGAGGAAAAGCGCGAATGAAGTCTCTTACACCGGCACCAGGCGATCTAGGAGAAATTCTCAAGTATCGCGAAAACGCGGCAAGATCACCTTAAAAATGACATTTGCTGAAGATCTTCGCAGTCTCGAAGTTCATTTAATTAACGCCACAGAGCTACCACTCAGACATGGTCGCATGTTGGATGTCTTTGCGCGGCTTTCACTCAAGACGCCGTCAAAACGCCGCGGCGAACGACTTCAAAGCAAATTACTTAAGAAGACCTGTAACCCTATATTCGATGAACGATTCGTCTTCAAAAATCTTCATTTGGCCGAGTTGAAGAAAGGACGTTTGAAGATCAGGCTCTTTGATCGCCATGGTGTCTCGAGATACGAACCGATCGGAGAAACAGTATTTTCTTTATGCGACGAAAGTATCATGCGCGGAGACGAGTTGTGTCGAGACCTGTCGCCTCAGGTAAGTGTGGTCCGCAATGTGTGCTAAGAATCATTATCCAAGATATGTACCGCAACTGGAATTGGTGACAGTAGATTATATGAATCAAATTTAGCTACAAATAGTACTGTTATGAATCTGAGTAGCAGCTTAAAGAATAACAGAGAGTGTCAATCTTAGCCTGCTCATTTCCAGCAACGCGAGAATACTTAGAATTTACCCAATGTGCAGTATCACAATCAGGGACCTCTTCACATCGATTAACTTAAGGAACTATAAGGTATGTGGTAGTTGTAGAAAGGTGGCCGTCATAGAGAGCTAAGGTGAATACAAGTACAGTCCGTCGGGATTAAAATAAATGGCAGTGGCCATTGAGTGGAGTTATCCGATAGTATATTAGTTTCTTCTTTCAAAAGTGAAAATATTTTCTTTTGTTGCTTTCAGTTCGTTGGTGAGCTCCAGTTCTCTCTCTGCCATGAAGCCACATCTTCTCATCTGAAGGTCATCATAATGAGGTTGAAAGATCTTCCAAAGTCCGTGAAAAGTAAGAAAGTGTTTAAAACCATACAGTGCTCTTATACCATTAGCGCAATATTGCTCTTTAGGGTGTGGCTGACATTCCATACAAGGAAACAAGCTCAAGCAGAAACAGGAGGAACACATTGGCACAAGCGATGAAAAATTAACCATTCTAGTCGTATATAACACAAAATCATTATTTAAGAGATACATGATTAATGCGTCACAGCTTCAATGTATGTTGTTTGTGCTTCTGCTTTTGTCTCACGCATCAATCAACTCTTCAAGTGCAGGGTAGTTATGATGAGCTTACTATTGGCCCATTGAAATGCAGATACAATGGTGCTGATTTGAGCGTCGGTTTAAGTTATTTGGGGGCATAGGGTCTCTTTTCATCCGTATTTACGAACGATTTCCGGTCCATCTAGATTCACAAGTAAATTGACTAAGATTAAGCACGGTTAATTTGAAGGGATAACATAGCGAATACGGATACTCCCAAAACATTTTTTACTACAAAAATTAGTCTAGAAACTCTAACGTGATGACATTCTTGATATGTTTTTACATATAACAGAGGGACAAACCTGTATAGATTGTACTTCTCTAATTTCAGTTTCTTTTCTCTTTCTTAAAGATCCTTCCGTCGCTGTGGAACTCACGCACAATCGCAAAGAGGAAGTCATTCAGAAACATCAGACTAAAGCTGGGAAGAAAGACCTAACCATTAACGAAGAATTCAGTTTTGAAGTTGCTACAAATAGCTCTTGCACTCTTGAAAACTTTGGCGTTCAGTTCACTGTTTTTCAACACGAATTTATGCACAGGAACGAGGTCATTGGTCACGTGCGGCTGGGTCTGGACGCGCCATTTCCGTCTGAGATAAACCATTGGAAAGCAGTCACGCTATCTCCTCATAAACCCATACAAGGCTGGCATAAGCTTCATGGACCTCTATGAATGATAACTTGCTTAGGGATAATCATAATAATTTGTAATGAAAAATGACTTTGTACCAGGGAAGGATCCAGGAATTTTTGTAAGAGGGTCCCAATGGGGTAATGGCTTTTACGGCTAACGGTTACAATTTTGGCCATTTTATGGCTAACGGTTCATTTCTTTCGATCGTGATCAAAAGAATAAATTTTTACAGTCATTTTTTACGCCTAACTGCTAAATATTTTTCCGTTTTACGGTTAATCACTTTGAGACCCTCTCCCAAGCGGGGGGCAAAAAACTTAAATTCAGAAAACACAGAA